ACCTTTTCAGGCTGAGAGAAGGTCCCTGCATTACAAGGAGTTCTGGGATCCCACAGTTTAACCGTCTGGTCCCAACTCCCTGTCACCATCACATTCACTTCAGGGCAGTATTCAACACATCTGATAGGGGCATCATGGGTTCCAACGAGATTTTCTTGATCAGTGTTCAAATCATGCATTTTCAATTGATGGTCTAATCCCCCACTCCAAGCATGTGTTGGATCATAGAAGGCGCAGTCCAGGACGGCGCCGGTGTGCTGGTACTTGAGGCGCATGGAGTTGGCCGGCACATCGTAGAGGCGCACCGACGTGTCCCAGGAGGAGACCAGCAGGAACTGGGAGGTGTTGGGGCTGAACTTCACCGAGGAGATGCCATCCTCGGGTGGCTGGTTCAGTTTGAACTCGTTAGAACCGGTCATCTTGGGCTCCCTTTAGAAGCAACTTGGCCGCCGCTGACCGTCGCCACCACCTCCTCGCTTCCTTCCGAGCACTCCTCACAACAGTGATCTTTAATAAAATTCCTTTCTTCTTTCTTTTTCTGCATGACTTTCTTTCAGAAGCCAATGATAAATAAAGGTGGTTCTCCCCAAAATGGGATACAAGTATGGCTACACAGCTCTTTTTTAAGATAGGTCATCCTTAATCATTAAAACATCCAAATACGGGGCTTCTTCCTATCTCCAAATATTTTTGGTGAAAAGATTTAAAATTTGAACAACCACAAATACATTGTTAAATAGAATGCAAAAGTCACATTAATTAAAATAAAATATTAGATTCCAAAAATATTTTTTTTCTTTTCTACAGCAGCTGGTATCTGACTACAACCACCACCATCACGACCAACGCCACCCTCACCCCAACTCTTTTCTCCGCCATTGATTACTTTGGGAGAAAGATTTGAGAAGCACTGTTTATAGTGGCATCTGAAGGTGAATGAGGGCACAGTAATTTTATCTTATAACCTGAGACATTTGGAAAACATCCAGAAATCTGAGGACCACAGATTCCTTGGTGGTTTATCATTTAGCCTTTGTCTAGTTCTAAGTTTCTGAGGGTTACATAAGCTTGCATTTTTAACTTCTCCACATGGACCTCTGTGAGGAAATTCTTAATTTTTAGCTACTTTACATGTGTATATGCACCATTTTGGACATGTAACACACACACACACACAAACACACACACAGTGAGAACTCTTGAGACAACAGGCCCAAAAGAGTAAATGTTGGAATTCAAGAGCTAGATCCCCCCAAAATACCCTGCTAAAGACAGTGTCAACTTATAGTAAAAATGTGAGGCTTGTACCACTAGCCCGTAGAAGCTTTCAAAAAATGTTTTCCTAACATTTTGATGCTTCTCCCCAGACACTAAGCAGCCATGGCTTCAGAGAGGCCCTAATGTGGCAGCTCACCAGAACTCCAACAGGTTTTTTTTTAAAGATTTTATTTATTTATTTGACAGAGGGAGACACAGTGAGAGCAGGAACACAAGCAGGGGGAGTGGGAAAGGGAGAAGCAGGCTTCCTGCTGAGCAAGGAGCCTAATGTGGGGCTCAATCCCAGGACCCTGGGATCACGACCCGAGCCGAAGGCAGACGCTTAACGACTGAGCCACCCAGGCGCCCCACTCCAACAGGTTTTACTTCTTACTCTCCACCCTAGTTTAAAATGCATCCATTGGATGATGCATTCAAGCACAACACTGCTTTCCCATGCTAGCAAACGTGCACGGTAAAATGTTGCTTGCTTTTGTTTTATTTATTCACTTGTTTTTAAAATATCAAACTTGCTAATCCCTACTGATATAATACATATTACATATTAATTTGTAGCCATTTTAGAGTGCCTTAAGTTTCAAAATGAAAGAAAAAGACATACCTGCTATATAACACAGAGAGATAAATCAGAATCTCTGGCATGATGTTGAAAAGGTGGGGGTTAGGAGTGATGACAAAAACTTTAAGCCATCCCTGAATTCTCTTGGGGCAAAGAGATCTTGAATCCCCGTGGGGTAGAGTATACTGACCCATTCTCCACCCCCACTCCCTATTCAGAAACAGAGGTTGTAATGATTAAACTTATTGATGAGGGTAATGATGTGAAGGCAGAAAAACAAAGGTTGTGAATGAAGCTCATAAAATACTGAGTATTTCAAACACCGATTTTCTGTCACAAGAGCCTTTAGATATCTCATAATTGCTTATAAGATACACATACCGGGCACGTAGTAGTTGCTTAATAAATAGTAGATGGATTAATCCTACCCATATAGTTACATAGGATTTAAGCCCAATAATTAACTACCAATAAATATAAAGGCAAAAATGGTAACACCCAGTGCATAAAATTGGCAAAGTTGACATCGTAAGAACCTAAGTCAAAAACTAAAGCCTATCTTTTGAAAGAAATGAGTGAAAATGTCTCTGGCCACCCCCACAACACAACATGCCACACAACTTGGGACAAGGAAGAAGAACAGTCAAGAAGTTAAATAGAGGGCGCCTGGGTGGCTCAGTTGGTTAAGCGACTGCCTTCGGCTCAGGTCATGATCCTGGAGTCCCTGGATCGAGTCCCGCATCGGGCTCCCTGCTCGTCAGGGAGTCTGCTTCTCCCTCTGACCCTCCCAACCCTCCCCCCTCTCATGTGCTCTCTCTCTCAGTCTCTCTCTCTCAAATAAATAAATAAAATCTTAAAAAAAAAAAAGAAGTTAAATAGAAATGGGTTTAAATGGAACTCAGATGGATGACTTTTTCCCCCTATTGTCTCTACGTCTGATTGAAGAGAGTAGGCTCAGTCCCAAGAAGTAGCCTCCAAATTTTTCAGATTTGGCAAATCTCAAAGTCTACTGTCTGCTTTGATCAACCACTTTCTCTTGTCCTGGGATCTGAATGACTAGCTTGCCTTGGAGCCATAAAGATTAGGATAGAGAAAGTCAAGTGGGAACACTCTCCTATTCCTATGAACCTAAGGAGGTGGGCTGTCTTGGGGGAATGGGGAGACTACAGTTTAATCCATTTTACGTTCTTGATACAGGTGGTAGAGTCAGTCCTTGACATTGGCTGTCCCAATAGGCAAAGCTAGGTTAAGGCAGTAAATTCCTGTAGATAAGGGCCTGGAGTCTATAAAGGATTATCAAAAGAATGACTGGCCATCTCCTCCTGTCATTTCCATTCCACTTGATCCCTGTACTAAAAAATGATGCATGCAAAGGACATATCACAGTGGTGCTTCAATTCAATCACAGCAGTGCTTCAATTCAAAGCTGAGAGGGACAACACTAAGGGATAGAGAGAATCTTGTGGGTTGTTTTTTGTTGTTGTTATTTTATTTGCTATTGGCGCTTTTGGATGTTTGCTTTCTCTTTGAATATCAACCCTTACTTATTAAATCAGCATTGCCTTAAGTTCTAAGATTGTCCCATTGTCAGTGAGGCTGGAGTTAGGATAATCGATAGCCTTGCAAGTTCCTGTAAGATCATTATCCTTTCAAAGGAAAAAAACCAGGTTCATGCATCCATAACTCTACATGCTTTGGTTTCATGAGTTCCAAAACCCTAAAAATTTTTTGCTTTTCCACCTATTGACTCTTCCTCAAATTCCACTCCTGGAACATCATGTTTTTAAGTTTAATGGAGTGCTCCTTATAAAAATATAAAACCCTAGTGAGGAGTAACACAGCAAAATGTTTTAGCCATTTCTATTTGCTTTGCTTTCTAAGAGCTGAAGAGCAGGCTTTGATCAATTGTAAAAGAGAAAAGAAATGAGATATTCAGCTCTACTGAGGAAGAAGCAGAAGAGGGCAATCAGAGTGGGTCATGGTCAGCAAGGAAAATCTGTCACTTATGACCTGATGGGAATGAAAATATGGATATCTAAGAGCAATATTTTCTGCCCAAATCTCTGATATACGAGGTAGCATATCATCCCCAGGGAACAGACCTGCCTAGATGATACATTCTCAAGATCAAGACATCAATGCCATTATAAGTCTTGTTTTATTTTGTTTTAAATCATTGTACATAATGTTTGGGATCCATTAAAACACAGAGTAGTATTCATAACAACCACTACTTATTGAGATAGATTCTGTTAGTAAGTTAATTCCTAAGAATAGATCTGTGCACCCTGGGACAATTCATGAACTCTTCTAGACCACAAGGGTCCCATTAAATGGATTACTAACTCAATATATTAAACAGTACCCAAGTGGCTTTACAAAATACCCAACTATTCACATCAGGCACTTTGTGTCCTAGGAGAATCTGTCTTGTTGATCATTTATTTTGTGTCATATATTATACCCAAACTGGTGCTGTATAATTTTAGATGCCTGTATCAAGTTAAATTCTCAAAGCCTAATTAAATTGCAAACCACATACACACATGTGCACGTGCACACACACACACACACACACACATACACACTCCCTGCAGGCACTTTTTTTCATATTCCTTCAAATATTATCTCCAGATATAAAGAAAGCAGGAACCTGCATTTAAAGCTATTTATTATTCTAAAAAAGTAAAGATCCAAACCCCTCTCACTCATGTCTGCATCCTCACCGTCTCCCACTCAGTAGGCATGTTTTTAAACCAATCACATAATTCTTTCACCTAAGTACACTGGATACCATGTTTTCATGGAAGCACCCACATCATCACATCATCTGTGCACTTCTCCTTCTTTTCACAATTCACGCAGAAACCCTACCATCATTTCCTCATGGCACTCTTCACTCAGCTATTCCAGAAGGGAGCATATACACAGTAATAGAAGGACGTAGCAGAGAAAACCCCTTCCCAGAGAATGCTAGCTTCTTTGCAAGTCTCAGACCTAACACACAGGATCCTGGAATTGTACAACCCCACATAAGCATTCACTGCTGTATGTTTACTCCGGATCTTCCCCTTAAATTGTTCCTGTAATACATTTTTCTGTTCATTTTCTTGCTCTGTTTTCCACTCTCAGGTGAGTTTTTTTCTATTTAATCTCCCCTTTTTTTCCATCTTCGCTCTCCCCCTTTGAAAACATAGTCCATTTTTTTGCTGTGGAATATAATCACTAACTAACGTACAAATATATGGCCATGTATATTCTAAAGGAACAGCTGCAAAATTGCTAATATTAGGTCTAATTTAGCTACAATAAATTAGCAAATGTGTGGAAGCACAATGATGACAGCATAATTATAACAAAAGTCGATGTGTTGAAGTATATGGATGACCATACATACTAATTTTAGAGAGAAAAAAGAACCCTACACCAAATGAAATGCATGCAATGAACAGACGGGACTAATAGCTCAGACACATATACTTAATGTGGCCAGTCACTGTAAAAACAAAAAGATAGATGAAGCTGTTCAAAAAAAATCTAGCGCTAACAAGCAATGCAGTCTGAAACCATTAACCGTCAGGGGTAATAACACTCAAAGTGCTGAAGTGCCAAAAACCAGCTTTCCTGGGATGGTGGCGCAGGGACCCGCAC